GGAAGTCGCAGGGGTAGATGATCCGGCTTCTGGAGATGGTGTTGTCGCAGCTGGGGGGATGGCTTCCATGAAGTCAGACAAGGGTTGGTGGTACACTGCCTTTATTGCGGCACGAAGCTCATAGTACTGAGCCGAATCCACCTCCGAAAACTCGAGTAGCCCTCGCATGTTGTTGACCTTCCTCTGCTTGCGGGATTCGGCGGCCGTCTCGCGTGCCCTGACCGCAGCCTCTTCATCGAGAACCCGCCGCGCAGCAACGGAGTCCGCCAGCGTCTTCACGGCCTTAGTAATCTGGTCACCTTGGGCGAGTCGTTTCTGGCGGAAGGCCTCATTGGCAGCCTTTGATTTCACCTCCGCCTGCTGCTTTTGCACCTGCGCTCGGCTTTGCGGCTCGCCGGCCCCGGCGAATGTCCGGATAGCTGTTGACGTGAGGTTACCATCGGACCCTACCCCGCCTGGCTCAGTCTCACTTTCCCCCGTGCTGCTGTTGCTGCTGCCCCCCGCGGAGCTGCTGCCCCCCCCGTCCCCCGACTTCCGCTTCGACCCCCGCTTCGGTGGGCCGCTCGTCTTCCTGGCGGTCGCCAGGTCGGGATCCTCGCTGTCACTGGGCCTTCCGATAAAACAGTAGATGAGGAGCAATGGGTGCATCCATCCGTCGGGCCTTGGCGGGTACTCCCCGTCATCACCCGCCTGTTCGTCCTCAGAAGGCACGTCGTCGTCGTCCACACTCGCATCGTCATCGTCCGGGTTCCTTTCCTTCTTGATGACAGCCGTCTTGCCCTTCTCCCCTTCCTGGTCTGGCTTGTCCTCGTTCGGCGCACCCCCGTCTGCCTTTTCCTCCGGGGCTTTCCCTCCGTCGGCTGCAGGAGTGGACTCCACGAGATCGTCCTCCTGCACAGGGCTTTCCGCGGAGCCTTTGGTTTTAGAGTAGAGACCGTCGAGAAGGTTATTGATGGCGTCGTCTCCAGTTTGGCCCGACGGCAGGTTGCCCCCCGGCTGGCCCTTGACGTATCTGGTGGAGATGACCCAAACAAAATGTGCAGCAGTAAGATAACTATCGAAATGCATACTGATTTTTTTTTTCTTGCCACCTGATGTCGCAACTGTATGTGCTCAAGCGGTAACGTTGTACTCGGTCTAGCCGGAGTACACATTCGAGGAATATGTACGTGCTCAAGGGGGCGGAGGATGGATTCAATCTGTTGCAAACAAAAAAAGACGACTTACCTGTCCCAGATAGGGTTGCAGAACTTCTTCATTTTCAGCATCGCGGCGTCGAACTTCGTCCAGAGCTTCTTCCCGTTGGTGTAGAGAACCGGTGCTGCGCCGCACAACAGAAACACGCGTAGTTTTCGCCATCAAAATAGTTATTCTTACAAACATAGGCATGCACAACAGCAGGGACAGTAGCTGTAGAATGAGCAGAAGTAGTGGAAGTAGTAGTAGAATTGCAGTAGCGGTAGAGATAGCGGCAGCAGTAACTTATAGGTAGTTGGTGCGTGGGCCAATATTGCTGTTGTATGATATGATACAGGCAGGCGACACACGTTGTTCTGTAGTACTGCTGGTGTTGATGAATCACAAGAGAAGCTACGCTGCTGTAGTTTGCGGTAATACAGACGGGCGTGTTTTTGTATCACCTGGTGCTGCTATGATATACAGCAGATGGAAGATGATGCTCTACTGGATACACGAAGACTAGCGGCTACTGCTGTAGTACAGCAGTACTGCTGTACGCTGGTATGATATACAGCAGAGAGAGGATGATGCCCTACTGGATACACGAAGACTAGCTGCTACTGCTGTAGTACAGCAGTACTGCTGTACGATACATGTAGTACAGCAGTACGAGATATGCAGTACAGCAGTACTGCTGTACGATGCATGTAGTACAGCAGTACTGCTGTACGATACAACAGATACCTGGTGCGGGCTAAATATTGCTGATGTATTAAATGATACAGGCAGACGAGACACGTTGTTCTGTAGTACTGCTGGTGTTGATGATCATAAGCGTAGTACTGCTCTACGGTATTTTAAGTACGTAGTCTTTATACTATATATACTCATCCTGCCCCCCTTTCTCTCTGTGACATCTACTCTCCCTCACCTCCGTCGGTGGAGGTGGCCCCAATCCTCTTCATGGTCAACTCAGAAGGGAACGTGATGTCGTTGTCCCTCGCCCATCTGAAAAAGCCTGGCACAGCGATCTCTCTGTAGCCTTGGGCAGCAGCAGCGCGCTTCGCTTCGGTGCCCACCACGCCAGCATTGCGCTTGACCGCCAAGCAGGAGTACACGATGCATACGTTCTGGATGAACAGCATCTGTTGCTTCAGGGTGAACAATTTCTTGTTCTCTAGCGCGAGGTTGATCGACGTCTTGACGTAATCATTATACACCAGGGGGAGGGGTAGTACTTCGTCTACGTTGATGTCCATGGCTGTGGTGCGCCGTGCTGCTCGGGTTGCTCTGTGTGCCGTCTGCTGAATCGCTGTTGACGCGTTTGAGCATTGTAGCGGAGCCGTCCGTGGACAGTCTCGTTTCGCGCGCGGATTTGAATTGTGTTGCCCAAACGCCGATCGGGAACCTATGAAACCCAACTTTTTTTCTGATAAATTTTTTATGACACATAAGATTCGGGGCGTCGAGACACCTCGTCATTTTTGATGAGATCATTCTTGATCAAAAATAATCTGATCAGATATTACACATAAGAAGTAGCCTTACGCCGGGACTCGAACCCCTCACCTGACCTCTAGAAGGTTACTTACGAGGATACCAACAAGATCACCGGGGCGACCGGTTCTGAGCTTGGTTGGTTGTGATACAGCTGGATGCGGGAGAACAATCGGGCAAGGTTTTGAATTAACCCGAAGATAAAGCAGTCAGACGCTCAACCCCACCACCTCTCCGACAATTCCCTCGCTTCGTTGCGCCTGGATGGCTTATCGAGCTACACAAACGTACGTCCTAGGCCACTCGCATGTAGCACTGCGACTACCCACTACTGCTGTATAACTACGTGCGATCTTGTCTGGAGGCAGCCAACAGACAAGGCGGGTGGGGCGGACCGTCAGTTCTCCTCCATTTTGAAAAGGGGGAGCGGCAGATGGGATGTGAAGAGATGTATTAGGGTGCACAAAGGCCACCTTCCAGGCTTCCGATTTTTTTCTGTCATCAAAGAATCCATCTCTTCATCCCGAGGCTGTACACGTTGAGAAGAGAGAGCCGGAGGCCTCGCTCAAGCCAAAATAGCTGCGGGTGCTACGCGGGGTTCGGCGGACGCCATACAACGCCCTTGACCGCCGGAGCCCTGCCCGCTGGCGTGCCCTTGGAGAAAAGGGCAGGAGAGCCGGAGGAAGATCAGCCGAACATTCTCATATTTTGTTTTTCGGCGGCGAACAAGAAGCTGCTGTGTGTGTGCCTGTCCCTGTCTGTGTTTCCTCTGACATAGCAGCCCCTTGGGGCGTGCGAGGACCCTTTCAACGGGGAGGGAAGAAGGAGGGGTTTGTGGCCGTTCGCTAGGTGAGCGAGTGGGGTCGGTTCCAACGTATTCCGCGCACGCACATGCGCGCCGGCGCGCGCGGCGGTTCTGTGGTAGACATTTCGTTCTTTCAATTGGCAGGTCACGATCACGTACACAGAGATCCCGTGATGTGTGATGTGATTTGCCCTTGTTTTGTCCTCCCTTTGTTTTGCTCTCGCCGGGCGGTAGTGAAGAGCAGTGTTAACTTTGCACACGATAGTGATGATTGCACACGAGATCGATGGCTCGCACATCCACTGCGATCATGTCCAGACTGCTACCCCTTGCGAAATTCTTGTGACCGCTCGAAAAACCGTAGCGGACGATGGACACATCGCCCGCCGTCCACCAAACAGGGAACGGACAAGAAAGGCGGGTTGTTTTCCTCACTCTCCGCCTCCCTAACTGTTTTTTTGTTCACAACAATTTTTTGGCTTGTGTTTTTTGTGTGATGCAAGAACCGGGCAGCACCGTCCGGGGCTCTAGGTGAATCACCCCACATCTCTCTTCCCTAATCCCGTTGCATTGGTGGAGGCTGGCGCATCACGCGATGGGGGTGCCCTTTTGCATTCCCGGTTTGACATAAGCCGCACCTCTTGATTGGGTAGGTAGGTACTTTGCCAGGAGGGACGCGGGGGGGGGGCACTTTGGTTCCTCACGCGATTACCCAGTTGTTGCTGCTGCTTGTCCGGCTTACTCAGAATCGAATCGGGAGTCACACATCAACACGCGGGCAACATGCACCTGTCGGCAGCGACACACACGTCTAACTAGTGTCACCATGTCCACTTAAGCCGTTCGTTTGCCATCGATTTGACCTTTCCCCGTGCTCCGGGTCTTCGCCGCTGCTGCCCTACCTGGCCGGAAAAAGAGTGGATCGATTGGGGACCCTGCGCTCGTGCTGTGAGATTTTGGAGAAGCTTTCGGGGTTGGGATAGGCGCGAGAAACGAGAGGGAAGGAGGGCAGCGAAAAACTGTAGTAGGGCACACACCCAGGGAAGGTTCTCTGGAATAGGAAAGGGGCGGCCATGTCAACGCCAACCCCGGGAGGGACGCCGGCTCCTGTGACGCCTGTCACACCAACGGTGAGAGAGCAAAAAATGATGGAACAGAGAGACGGAAAATGCTACTCTCTTTGCATGAAGGGGGCATTCGTTTCTTTGTATGCAACACTAAAAGTTGTGCGCGGGCGACTTCTTTTGGTCTTAGATTTATTAACTGCAACCCCCAGAGAAAAGAGGTACTGGGGCTATACTGCTGTACCGGTAAATGTTGGAGTATTGTGCCGTGCAAACTACAACTTCGTAGAAGTAGAGCATTCAGTGATGAGTTCAACAACGGCAGGCCGCTGTATGGAGAAATAGAACAAAAACAGCATCGTGTTATTCGTAATTCTTCTTAGGAATCCAAGCAGAGCCTCGAACATGGACATGGGATGGGGACAACGGGGCATTTCGTTGGTTTTCGAAACTCATCCACTTGCCTTAAAGGTGTTGCTTATATCTGCCTGCGGTTTAGTACCAGGAACGCTCTGTTCTCCTTGTTGTGTCACTGTCGTGCGTTAATTTGTTTTCACTGTTGCACAACTTACTGGGCAGGGGAAGCGCAGATGGTCGCATGCATAGTGCGGCTGTAGTAAATAACAAACGCCCAGTCGGCCTGTGTGTCAACCTCTGATGACCGTAAGTACAATACACGTTTCGTAAAAGCTTTCCAGAATTAGCAGTCACTAGATAGGCCTGGCATCAACAGTAATGCCAACATGTGGGGGCATTGAGGTCGCTCATGTTGACATGTCTGCGAAGAGTTGAAAGCAGTCGTTGCGTGGATGTATCGATTGTATTGACTTCCTTATAATAGGAAGGGGACGGCCACGTACGGAACGTACGCATGCAGCAGTACACTATTCGTATCACAGGCATGGGATTGTTTGGATTCTTCTATGCATTTACGTGTGACAAACATAACACACCCCGAGCGTTTGTTTGTTCTCTGTCCGGGTCCAGCACGTTCGCTCCTTTTTGGTTTGGGTTGCAACTTGCACTCTTGGGTTGCTCAAGAGCTCTCTCTAGCCTTGTCCCTTAATAGTGCTGACAGTGCATGCCTTTGTTTGTGTACCCGAGATGGAAGGATATAATTTGCAGCTACATACAAACCCAGTCTTAGTAGATTGCGCAACTATTGAACTATGGGGGCCGAGGTTTGAAAAGGGCCCCGCAACCCCAGATGGTACATGCCTTCTCTATCGTTCAGCTATTCCATAAATTGAAGTCACCTATGCATACCAGCCCCTTGGGAAAGCCCTATTGGAGAAGTTTCAAGGGCTAGGGTTAGGGTGTCTTCTTTCGTCCCCCAACCGAAGCGCTTCATCCACTTAGCACGCAGGACAGCGCGAAGAAAGTTTTTCCGTGGATAGCCAGACATGTGTGGGCACCACATGTCAGTATATAAGGCTTGGGGCACCTTATCTCGTGTCGGGAAAGTACCCTTGTTACAAGTGGCTTCAGCGGCAGGATGTCAACCCTGCAATGTTAAAGACCCGGGTTCGAATCCGGCTAGGTGAAAATGGGTGGTTTTATGTCCGCCGCCAGCCGGTCGGGTTCCGGTTACCGTACATGCTACGGGGGGTGCGTCGTGGTACCCGCGTACTTGTCTACGATGCTGAGCTGTCCGCTCGCTCGTGTCCGGGGGGGTATGTGGGCACCACATGTCAGTATATAAGATAAGGCTGGGCTTGGGGCACCTTATCTCGTGTCGGGCAAACACCCTTTTTACACATGAAGTTGTTATTAATACCTGATTTTTTCAGAACAGCAGAACAAAAGAACTTAGCCTCGTGGTGCTCGTGTTGTAGGGAGCAACAGCAGTGTTTTAAGTGCGCGGCACGTCGCAGCGGGTATGCCTCCGCCCGACAGTAGCAACGGGCGTGGCGAAGCTCCTCCCCGTCCGGGCCGAATCGTCTTGGAAGCGTGCTGTGTGTTCATTTCTTCTCCTCGAAGGTGCAAGAACACGGTCAGTTCGTGATGACCGTTCGCGGTGGTTGGCCCTGCACACGTGCCAGCTTTGCGCTTTTGGTGATCTTTGTCGAACAGGGTTATCTATCTGTTGAGGGTGGGTGGCCGTTTCACACGAGAGGCCCCTGTGTAAGGCCGGCGTTTGCCACGATGCGAAACATCGGCCTTGAACAGGGCACCCTGCCTTTTTCAGAGCATAAAACAACTTGAGTACTCGATCTTTGCCAAGCGACTGCACCGGCCTTCAATCGGCGGGCATAAACAGGGAACCCCTCCTGTGGTTGGTTTTGTTGCGTGCTTCCGGTCATGTGTGCGCAATGCTTTGGGGCAAAAAGCTCCCTGCCGCCCCCGTCATGGACGATCGTGATACCTAAGCGATGCAGAAACCAGGCCAGACAATAAGCAGTTTCGCGGCGCTATCAGTCCGTACCCGACTTGGTCGGTACCGTTAGCTAGGGTTTGATTTCGAGAGACTTGGGCAGGGGAGTGGAGTTGTCCCTCTCCGCCCGTGATCGGATAGACGCAATGGGGTGCTGGTCCGTGTATCTGCCAGCACAACCAGCAAGGCACCAAGAACACTACCTCATAATCGATGAATCGCGCTCACCTCCTTCTGTCCGTCTACCTCCCCCCCCTCCCCCTGCCACACAGGCGGTTGCGCCGGTGATTCCAACGCCGCTGCCAGTTGCGGGGCCCCCTGAGCCGACTCCTGAGCCGACTCCCGAGACTCCCGCCCCGGTACGTTGCACCATAGATCACACCTCGTCCCGTAGTTCAGAGTTTTTATGTTTTGCTTGTGCAGTTTGCCGTGTTTTTGCCGGAAGGAGCGTTGAGTCCTTCAGGCATTCCGGAATATTGGGTGCATGCAGGGAGTTTCCACTCGAATATAGCCATTGAAAATTGCATTGTTTTCCTTGTGCACGCATCGGCACCCCATCTTGTGCACGCATCACATGGAGGTATTGACCGTTTGTGTGGGGTATCGCGATTGTTCGCCAGTGGTGATGGGCATCACAATTGGGGCGGGGTAGAGCTGCTCGCTATCATTGTGCGCAGAAACATGAAGCCAGACCCTATTCCTCGACGGCGAGCGCCCTTTGTCGCCAGTCTTTTCCCTTTGAACATGACGATTGCGAGTGATATCGCCTGCCTGTCGGCTTGTTTTTTTTGTCCGAGTTGTGTATATCGCCGAAGTGTTTCTTGACGGCTGAAACCAATGCTTGTGCACCGCTCGCAACCCTCGTCGGGCCTCATTCTTGCAACCGTCCAGGTCACGCCAAATGTTGATCCAACGCCCGTTCCCGAGACTCCACTACCGGTGAGTGGCGACTGTGCAAGGGGATTGTTACGCGTTGTCGCTGCACTTGCATGGTTCATGCCATCGCAGGTCTCGGGGGTGAAATTAATAGCTCCACGGGTACTCTCCGTGTAGCTACCTTTCTTGTTTTCGTCTGATGCCATCACCACATTTGTTTGCACACTCCACAATTCCTGTTGTTCACAACCGTCGCCGCAACCGTCCAGGTAACGCCTGACCCAGACCCAACGCCCGCTCCGGTGACCCCGGCGACCCCGGCACCGGTAGGTGGTGGGGTCTTGATGTTGTTTTCGATGCTGGGTGTCGGCAGGCCGTTTTATTGGTCGAACGTCGTTCTCGGGGAAATGTTGCAGACACGTTGATACGCAGGATGTCCTCTGTCCCATGACGTTGAGCGTCTACTACCGTCCCGGCATCTTTCCAGGTGGAACCTGCGCCAGATCCAACGCCCGCGCCGGTGACTGCGGTCGACCCCACACCAGCACCGGTAAGTGGCAGGATCTCAAGATATTTGATTTGTTCGTGTTTTGTTTTGGGTGTGGGCAGACCACATTAAGTGGTTGAACAATGCTTGAATGTAACTTTTGTGGATAAGTGAAACTCTCTCCTCGTCCCATGACGTTGAGCATCCACTACCGTCCCCGCTTCTGCACCCGCCCAGGTGACCCCCGATCCAGATCCAACGCCTGCTCCTGTGACTGCGATCGACCCCACCCCAGCACCGGTGCGTGGCGGGGTCTAAGAGAGATTTCATTTTTTCCTTGTGTGTTGTGGGTGCGGACAGACCACACGTAGTGGTTGAACGACGCTTGCAGGGACCTACCTGTGTTGGATTAGTGACTGTCTCACCCTCATCCCCATGATGTTGAGCGCCCACAACTGTCCCCGCATCTGCATCCGTCTAGGTGACTCCCGATCCAGATCCAACGCCCGCGCCGGTGACTGCGGTCGACCCCACCCCAGCACCGGTGCGTGGCGGGATATCAGGAAAGATTTTTTCCTGTTGTGTTTTGGGTTTGGACAGGCCACGTGTAGTGATTGAACGCTTGCAGGGTTGTAGGTTTCTGAAACTCTCCCTCATCCCCATGATGTTGAGCGCCCACAACTGTCCCCGCATCTGCATCCGTCTAGGTGACTCCCGATCCAGATCCAACGCCCGCGCCGGTGACTGCGGTTGACCCCACCCCAGCACCGGTGCGTGGCGGGATCTCAGGAAAAACTTCATTTTGTCCTGTTGTGTTTTGGGTTTGGACAGGCCACGTGTAGTGATTGAACGCTCGCAGGGTTGTAGGGTTCTGAAACTCTCCCTCGTCCCATGATCTTGAGCGTCCACTATCGTCCCCGCGTCTGCATCTGTCCAGGTGACTCCCGACCCAGATCCAACGCCCGCACCCGTGACTGCGGTTGACCCCACCCCAGCACCGGTGCGTGGCGGGATCTCGGAGACCGTTCGTCTTTTGTACTTGAATTTGGCGTGTGGGCAGGACATGCATTGGTCGAACGACGCCCTGTTGGAATTCCCTGTTGTAGGTGCTTCATCCCATGATATTGAGTTTCCGCCTCGTCCTCGCAACTGTCCAGGTGACACCTGGTGATCCTCCAACGCCTGCTCCGGTGACTGTGGTCGATCCCACCCCAGCACCGGTAAGCGGTTACTCGAAGTAGGTTGCTTAAACATGCATATATTTCGAAGTATTATGTGCGTCCGTCTGATCACGATTGTTGGAAGTGCCGTCGACATGACACACCACGTTCTCCTTTGTCCAAAGACATGAAACATCCACTACCGTCCACGCAACCGTTCAGGTGACACCGTTGGTAGATCCTCCAACGCCTGCTCCGGTGACTGTGGTCGACCCCACCCCAGCACCGGTAAGTGGAGAGCTAGTCCTGTACAGCATTGCTCATCCCTTGCTGAGTTTTCGTCAAACAAGCCGTCGAAAGGCCTGTGTGTGCGCTCATCAAATTGTGCATGTGAGCTCAGGGATTCACTATCTTGTACTCTACACGTCACGCCTATGTTCTCCTTCGTCCAAAGATATGAAACGTCCACTACCGTCCTCGTAATCGTTCAGGTGACACCGTTGGTAGATCCTCCAACGCCTGCGCCGGTGACTGTTGTGGACCCCACCCCAGCACCGGTAAGCGGTTAGGTGTCTGAAGGGTTTCTGAAACATGGATACAAATATGTGTTCCAAGTATTGTGTGCGTTCGTCCGATCACGATTGTTGGAAGCATCGTCGACATCACACACACGTTCTCCTTCGACTGTTGTAACGACATGAAATGTCCACTACCGTCCTCGTAACCGTCCAGGTGACACCGTTGGTAGATCCTCCAACGCCTGCTCCGGTGACTGTGGTCGACCCCACCCCAGCACCGGTGAGCGGTTAGGTGTCTGGAGGTTTCTTCAACACGATGTAGGATTCGAAGTACATCTGTTCGATCACGATTATTCAAAGTGTCGTCGACATGACACACCACCTTCTCCTTCGACTATTGTAATGACATGAAACATCCACTACCGTCCACGCAACCGTTCAGGTGACACCGTTGGTAGATCCTCCAACGCCTGCTCCGGTGACTGTGGTCGACCCCACCCCAGCACCGGTGAGGTTTCTTCAACACGATTTAGGATTCGAAGGATATCCGTCCGATCAAGATTATTTCAAGTATCGTCGACATTACACACCACGTTCTCCTTCGACTATTGTAACGACATGAAACATCCACTACCGTCCTTGCAACCGTCCAGGTGACACCGTTGGTAGATCCTCCAACGCCTGCTCCGGTGACTGTGGTGGACCCCACGCCAGCACCGGTAAGCGGTTAGGTGTCTGGAGGTTTCTTCAACACGATGTGTATCTCAAATTATCATGTGCCGATCACGATTGTTAGAAGTATCGTCGACATGACACACCACGTTCTGCTTCGACTATTGTAACGACATGAAACATTCACTACCGTCCTCGCAACCGTTCAGGTGACACCGTTGTTAGATCCTCCAACGCCTGCTCCGGTGACTGTTGTGGACCCCACCCCAGCACCGGTAAGCGATTACCGTATATGTCACAAGATAACACACCCCCCTGGACCAATTTACTAAGCTCACTTACTCTACGACGAAGAGGATGCACAAACGAAACGATACATTTTTGGAAAGCTCTCGACGAGACCGTTCCAACGCCGCCGTTTTCGGCGCCGTGACTCTTCGGTTGTTGAGAAATCGAGATTTGAAAAATCGGTCCAGGGGGTGTGTTATCTTGTGTCATTTACGGTAGTTGTCTGGAGGTTTCTTCAACATATGTAGAATTCAAATTATTATGTGCCGATCACGATTGTTACACACCACTTTCTCCTTTGTCCAAAGACATCGAACATCCACCACCGTCCACGCAACCGTCCAGGCGACACCGTTGGTAGATCCTCCAACGCCTGCTCCGGTGACTGTGGTCGACCCCACGCCAGCACCGGTGAGCGGTTAGGTGTCTGGAGGTTTCTTCAACACGATGTGTATCTCAAATTATCATGTGCCGATCGCGATTGTTAGAAGTATCGTCGACATGACACCACGTTCTGCTTCGACTATTGTAACAACATGAAACATTCACTACCGTCCTCGCAACCGTTCAGGTGACACCGTTGGTAGATCCTCCAACGCCTGCTCCGGTGACTGTGGTCGACCCCACCCCAGCACCGGTGAGCGGTTAGGTGTCTGGAGGTTTCTTCAACGAGATGTAGATCTCAAATTATTTTGTCCCGATCGCGATTGTTGGAAGTATCATCGACATTACACACCACTTTCTCCTTTGTCCAAAGACATGAAACATCCACTACCGTCCACGCAACCGTTCAGGTGACACCGTTGGTAGATCCTCCAACGCCTGCTCCGGTGACTGTGGTCGACCCCACCCCAGCACCGGTGAGCGGTTAGGTGTCTGGAGGTTTCTTCAACGAGATGTAGATCTCAAATTATTTTGTCCCGATCGCGATTGTTGGAAGTATCATCGACATTACACACCACTTTCTCCTTTGTCCAAAGACATGAAACATCCACTACCGTCCACGCAACCGTTCAGGTGACACCGTTGGTAGATCCTCCAACGCCTGCTCCGGTGACTGTTGTGGACCCCACTCCAGCACCGGTAAGCGGTTAGGTGTCTAGAGGTTGTAAAGAGGTTTAAATGTAATACATCGAAGTTTGTGCATCCGCCCGATCACGATTGTTGGAAGGGCCATCGACATCCACTATTGTCCTCGAAATATTTCAGGTCGCCCCGGTTGTAGATCCAACGCCTGCTCCGGTGACTGCGGTCGACCCCACCCCAGCGCCGGTACGTGGCAAGCCACGTAGAACATGATTTGTTGGTGATATTTTGTCACAGAACCGTAAGGTGTTCTGCAAGTGTAGACCGGGATGACCTGCTGGAAAGCTCGATGAAGCCAAAGTCGAGAGGAACAGGGGGGTCTATTGCGTAGGATTCAGTATAGCAGTCAAATCTAGACGCCAGATTTTTTGCGTAGGATGAAGCCATGCTTCCGACGTTTTCACCTGACACTTTTGAGTCTTCACCTCCGATTTTCCTACCCGTTTCTGTCCTACATAGCGTATCATTATACATAAACGAGTTATGTTAGGTTAGCCATAGTGCAATAGTCCGTATGGCCCGAAACCAAACCTTCACGAGGCCAAAAGAAAAAGCGGAGGTAGGGATAAAGGGTAGCAGTGCACCCCTGCAGTCACTCCGGGTCAGCCTTTCTCCTGTACGTGTACGTCGAAGTATGCATTCGGATTTTTGGTCGAAAGCAAACACNGGGATAAAGGGTAGCAGTGCACCCCTGCAGTCACTCCGGGTCAGCCTTTCTCCTGTACGTGTACGTCGAAGTATGCATTCGGATTTTTGGTCGAAAGCAAATGTATATGACAAACACATTTAATTTTGAGCTCTTGCTTCCAAGACAACAAAGCCACACTGCCGTCCTCACTCAGGTCGAAACTGTGGTAGCTGAAACGGCCTGCTCCAGTGACAGCGGAACCTGTGATCGACCCCACCCCAGCGCCATGTGGCTGGAATCTGTCTTATTTTTCAATTGTATTCGCGTAGCTACGTTTCAAACCACGAGCTGAGACCTATTGTAGACAAGTCACATACACGTTATCCTTCGTCGAAGTTACTGATCGTCCACAACCTTCCTCGCAACCGTCTAGGTGGCACCTGAGGTGCCTGAAACACCTGCTCCAGTGACTGCGGAGCCTGTGGTCGACCCCACCCCAGCGCCGGTACGTGGTTGGTAGTCTGTCACAGTTTCCATTAGTCTTTGCGTAGCTATGGTTCAGAACAGATGCTGAGAAACCTATTGTAGACAAGTCACACACGCGTTATCCTTCGTCGAAGTTACTGATGTCCACAACCTTCCTCGCAACCGTCTAGGTGGCACCTGTGGTACCTGAAACGCCTGCTCCAGTGACTGCGGAGCCTGTGGTTGACCCTACCCCAGCTCCGGTATGTGGCGAGGACTCCTATTATAGCATGGCGNGAGCCTGTGGTTGACCCTACCCCAGCTCCGGTATGTGGCGAGGACTCCTAGCATGGCCTAGGAAGCAAGGGTTAGCCTGGAGATGCCAGAGACCCTTCACAACCAACCAACCCGTGTCCACCCGTCGATACAGTTAGCCCCCGCTGTCGATGAGCACCCGTGATCGAGAAGCGAACATTCAGATTTTGGCGATGAAGATGAAAAATCGACCGAGAAACACGCCTCAGCCATGGATCCTACAGTTGATTCTACACGATGTCCTATGTTCGACGACGTCAGATATTGAGCCTCGACCAAAATCGACCTAAAACGATTAATGTTGTACTTCGAAGTATTCAAAAATAATGTAAACATTAAAAGTCGTCCAGTAACAATATTTTATTCCGGTTTTAAAAGTTAAATTACAAGTTTTGAAAATATTTTTGTTAAATCTATACATAATTTTGTTTTTTTATTGACATTGAGTCTCGACCGAAATCGACCTTGCTTGAACACGGGTGCTACCTGCTGTGATATGCCCGTCAAAATTTTGTTTCACCAACAGGCTACACCAGTAGTAGCAGAAACTCCTGTCCCGGTGACGGCGGAGCCGGTCGCGGAGACTGCCGAGCCTGTGATACCCACCCTCGCGCCCGTCGAGGCTCCGCCTGTACCGACGGTGAGATACGCCTTACCTGTCTTAGCGTGTTGGCATCGTTGCTTGGATTTGGGGAGAATCGAAACATGTACCAAGTGGCCGTCTCGGTGTGTGTGTGCGGAGGTAAAATGAATCTACAGCTGCCGCTGTGGTGTGTCGTGCGGGCCCGCGCGGAGAGTGCTGGCTCGTGACCTGGTATTGTTTTTCCTGAAGGGTGGAGGAAATTCAGGAGATGAATGGTTGACTTTTTTTTTTTGTCNCGTGACCTGGTATTGTTTTTCCTGAAGGGTGGAGGAAATTCAGGAGATGAATGGTTGACTTTTTTTTTTTTGTCTTTACGTCAAATCAGCGCTCACGGCACTAGTGCCGTTTACTCCAACCCGTGGTCACACAGAAGAGCCCCCCTCTCTCTACCCTCCCCTCCTGCGGTACTTTGCCTTCGATTTTTAATTCGAGAAGAGTTCAGCACTCTCCTCCCTCTGTGTACACACGAACTAGCGCTATCTACTAGGCCAGGAGTGGAAGCGAAAGAAAAACTCACTTTGCAAGAAAAGCTCGCTTACGCCGGGATTCGAACCCCGGACCTGATCTCTAGAAGGTTTCGAGGTTACCAACTAGACCACCGGGGCGACCGGCCTGACTGCATGATGTTGACCGTCGCCGCGTCTCATGCTCTCATGTTCGTGTGTTTCTCCGTGCGCCTTTCGCGGTTCGACGTGAACCCCCTTCGTGACACGCGCTCTACGTTCAAAAAACAGCCGGAACCTGTCGATACTCCAACACCGGTGAGTTTCATCCAGGTTTTGATGGTGACCATCGTGGATTGTGCTTTGCTTGAACATGTGTTTGCGTTTGGTATGGCCAACGGACTCAATGCCTACAACAATCTCACGTCTCAGGCGGGAACGAAAACATGAACGCACAGGCTCCATTCGAGGAGCCGACCTGCGCCACTCAAATGCACGCACCCAGCAGTCGCAATAGCACGTGGAGAAGTGAACCAAGCATCTCCCGGCAACAGGCTTTCAAACCGACAACAATCGCCCGTGCACTTCGAAACACCGCGAGGAAATTTTGCCGCATGCGCCCGCTACCAAAAGCAGTACCGAATTATCTGTGATTCCAACAGCCTTGAGGTCCTTCTCATCGGCCAAACCCGCCAGTCTTTGGTCGTAGGAGTCAGCTGAAACCTGGAAGCTAAAACAATCCTTGCGAATGCTTCACTGAACCCAAACCCTCGCTCATTCTCTCTACTGCAACGGGTTTGAACCCTTGCTCCTGTTCTACTCGAAACCCCTCCACCCGTCGTCGAAGCTCCGGCGCCTGTAATCCAGATGCAAGACACAAATGTATCCACTCCCATAGCCACCCCTTCTACGCCACAGCCTTCGCAAACTCTACCGCTACAAAACACCTCCGCCCGTGACACCTCCTACAGTTAGGGGTGTCAATCGGGCAGATTTTGGAACCAAAAATGTGACCGGTCAACTCAGCGATTTTGGGGGGGGGCACACGGATTGGGTTCTTAAAGGCTCTTGAGAGTGCCCGCCTATTATTCTGATCAGACACCACATCACTCTGTTTGCGCAGGTAATTCTGCGCCCAGGCAGCAGCGTGGCTCTTCATACGTTACACACACTTGGACACAAGTCCAATCGAGGCGACTGTAAGCTCGGTTTTCTCTTGAAGTTAAAGGGCGGACGAACAACACCAAAAACATGGTTTTTGGAGATCTTTGCTCCACACCCAAGGAGACCTTTGCTCGTCTCGATAACGCGAGCTTACGGCCCTCTACCTTGGGTTTACCGCTATACCACTCAACAAACCGCATCCGAATCGCATCAGCCAACCACGAGATCTACATGTCTGAAAACGGCCCCTCCAGTGGGGCTGCAGCGCCCACACCAGCAGACCTTCCCCCCCAAAAAAAAACTCGAGGTCCGCGCCCTTCGGCAACAGGAGGCGCGCTGCGCGAAAGCTGAATCATAACAAAACGAAGTTTGAAGAGAGGGCGGGGCAGTGTATGGTTGTCGCGTCAGCAGAAGATAACACGCGGCGCGCTATCGAACGCGGCAGCCTCACCGTCGTAGAGAGAACGCTGGAGGAAACGAAGGAGTTGGTCAAAAGTAAGAAAATTGTGGAAGAGAGCCAGGCTAGCTGCAGCAAACCTCGCTACCGCCGCCGCCGTNGAGTTGGTCAGAAGTAAGAAAATTGTGGAAGAGAGCCAGGCTAGCTGCAGCAAACCTCGCTGCCGCCGCCGCCGTTGCTGCTGCTGCTGCTGCTGCTATTTTTTTCAGCAGCAGCAGCGGCGGCGGCAGGTGTCTGCGTGGCTTCACCGCCCGGCTGCTGCTCGGGCGTGTCATGAGGCATGTGTTCTAGAGTGGGACCGCGCAAAGGTCTTCTGTTGTGTCCCACAGCAGGGCACATCAGAGCACACACACTAGCTGCGCCCTCGCGCGTGCGTGTCAGGTGTCATTAGGGAGCTTTCAGACCGTTCCGTGCAATTTTATTGGTCAGTCGATTATCCATCAGGAAGATCCGAGGCCAGTTTATCAATTTTTTTCCTATTGGAAATTTGCTGCTTTGACGCCCCTAACAGTAGAACCATCACCGGTCGCGACGGCTCCACCGGTGGTCGTTCCAACGCGTGATCCCCCATCTTTCGTAGAGACACCGGGACTTGTGCCTCCTGTCACAGCAGAACCATCGCTTGTTCCACACCCACCGCTGATCGTAGCACCCACTCCTGATCCAACGTCCATCGTAGATACACCTGGACCTGTGCTTTCCGTCACAGCAGAACCATCGCTTGGCCTGACAGCGTCGCCCGTCGTAGCACCGACTACTGGTCCAACGTTTATCGTAGGGACGCCGGGACCCGTCCGTGCTGTTATGGCAGAACCATCGCTTGACCCAACTACGTCTCCTGTTCTAGCACCGACTCCTGATCCAACGTCATAGAGAAGCCTGGACCTGTTGCTGCCATGACACCAAAACCGTCGCTCGACCCAGCCCCGTCGCCCGTCGTAGCATCTACTTTGATCCAACATCCATCGCAAAGGCCCCTGCACCTATCCCTCCCGTGACAGCAGAACCATAGTGTGATACCCTCCCGTCGTCGGTCGTAGCATCGACTCCGGGTCTATCGTATATCCGAGAAACGCCGGGACCAATCTCTGCTGCGACGGCAAAATCATCCGCTGAGCCATGCCTTTCGCCAGTGATAGAACGGACTCGACGTCCAACGTACCCTCCCTTGACGACATCTGCACCTATTATTGCAGTCTCCGCAGAACCGTCCCTCGAACCGACCCCGTGGCTCGTTGTAGCACCGACGTCGGATACGTTCTTCGAAATATAAGGACCCGTCGCGCAGGTCATGACAGAGACATCCCTTGACGTAACCCCATCGCCCGTCGAAGCACCGACTGCCCTTCCACCATTTTCTGTAGAGACGGCAGGGCCGATCGCTCTGGTCACTCTAGAATCATCCCTCAACCCAACCCCGTCGATCACCGTAGCACCTACTCCTCTTTCCACAGCTTATGTGCAAACATCGGGATCCANCGACCCCGTGGCTCGTTGTAGCACCGACGTCGGATACGTTCTTCGAAATACAAGGACCCGTCGCGCAGGTCATGACAAAGCNATATCCGAGAAACGCCGGGACCAATCTCTGCTGCGACGGCAAAATCATCCGCTGAGCCATGCCTTTCGCCAGTGATAGAACGGACTCGACGTCCAACGTACCCTCCCTTGACGACATCTGCACCATTTATTGCAGTCTCCGCAGAACCGTCCCTCGAACCGACCCCGTGGCTCGTTGTAGCACCGACGTCGGATACGTTCTTCGAAATATAAGGACCCGTCGCGCAGGTCATGACAGAGACATCCCTTGACGTAACCCCATCGCCCGTCGAAGCACCGACTGCCCTTCCACCATTTTCTGTAGAGACGGCAGGGCCGATCGCTCTGGTCACTCTAGAATCATCCCTCAACCCAACCCCGTCGATCACCGTAGCACCTACTCCTTTTTCTACAGCTTATGTGCAAACATCGGGATCCGTAACTCAAGTGACGGCAGAACCATCGCTTGACGCGACCCCTTGTTGCACCGACTCAATATCCTATAGTTTTCGTCCGAACATGGGACCCGTCACCCGAGTAACGGGAGAACCATCGCCTGACCGCAGCTATTCGAAGATGGTTTCACCAACACCTGGTCCAGTGTCTATCGCACAAACACCGGAACCTGTACTTCCGCTGACGGCGAATCCATCTCTCGGCCCAATCCCGTCGCCTGTCATTGCAACCAACTCTGATCCAAGATTTACAGTAGAGACTCAAGAGCCGGTCCCCCCAGTCACGGCAGTACCATCGCTTGACCCGACCCCTTCGCAGGTAATAGTGCCCACACCTGATCCAACATCTCTCGTAGAGACGCTGTACCCTGTCCGTCCAATTAAGGCCGAACCATCCGTTGACCCTATCCCGACGCCAGCCGTAGCGGAGCTTTCCGACGCAACGTTTCTCGTAGACACCTTAGCCCGTGCCTCTGGTCACAGCAGAACCATCGCCAAACACAACCCTTCCAACTGTCCTGGCACCGACTCCGTCGCCTGTCATAGCAGACACTTGATCCAACATCTGTCGTACGAACACTCGGCCCCATTCTCCCCGTCACGGCAGAACCGTTGGTTGACCCATCGCCGTCGCCAGCCATTACGCTCACTGTGCATCCGACCTCTGTCGCGGAGATGCAAAGACCCGTCCTCCCAGTGACCGCAAAACCATCGCTTGACCCCACCTTTTTTTCTGTGGTAGACCCGACTTCAGATCCAACATCTACCTCGGAGACACCAAGGTCTATCTCTACAGCGACAGCACAACCATTGCTTGATCCAACCCCGTCCCCGGCCGTAGCTCCGACTTCTGATCCAACATTTCCCGTAGAGAAACCGGAGTGTACCTTCGGTCACAGCAGAACCATCGGTTGAACCCCCGTCGCCTGTCGTAGGACCGACTACTCATTCAACAACTCCTCCGGTAGAGGCACCGGTACCTATGGCCCCCGTCGCAGCAGAACCATCGCTTGACCCCACCGCTTCGCAGGTGGTGTCATAACACCTCGTCTAACATCTATCGCACAAACAACGGGACCTGTACCTGCAGTGACGGCAAAACCACCTCTTGATCCAACCCCTTCGCAGGTGGTCGTGCCAACACCTGGTCCAATGTTCGTGATAGAGACACCGGGGCCTGTGCTTCCGCTGACGTCAGAACCATCTCTCGACCCAACCCCTCTGCCCGTGACAACACCGACTTCCGATCCAACATATATCATACAGACACGTACAGTGACGGCAGAACCATCGCTTGACCCAAGCCCTTCGCAGGTGGTCTTACCAACATCTGGTCCAACATCTATCGTTCAAACACCGGCACCTGGTCCGNTCTGCCCGTGACAACACCGACTTCCGATCCAACATATATCATACAGACACGTACAGTGACGGCAGAACCATCGCTTGACCCAAGCCCTTCGCAGGTGGTCTTACCAACATCTGGTCCAACATCTATCGTTCAAACACCGGCACCTGGTCCGACATCTATCGTAGAGACACCAGGGCCCCTGTCTCCCGTCATGACAGAACCTGTGCTTGATTCGACGCCGTCTTCTGTGATAGCACCGACTCCGGGCCCAGCATCTCCGCCCGTTGAGACAACGGGACCCGCCCCTCCGGTCACTGCAGAACCTGCGCTTGAGCCAACCCCGTTGCCAGTC